ACTTTTGCTTCCACTCTCATTTCTCTTTTCACTCTCACTCTCATTCACTTTTTCTTTCCCTTTATTTTTCTTGTTAGGACGATTTTCACTCATACTTGAAGGCCGTTTTGCCGTTAGGTCCACCGTAATATCCAGCTCAGCCACTGTTGAGGTTTGGGTGCCGGTAGTAGAGCCAATAGAGTCATGCGAGGCCATGGAAAAAAGCAATGTGAAAGCAGGGTTGCGATAAAATTTTTTCGCGTTTGAGTATCGTTCTACAAGTACCCTAGCATTAAAACGAGATTGAAAAACTATTGGCTACACGCCAAATCATATGATTCGTTACACGGCTCAATATTCGCTACATAGCGAGATTCATTACATTACGATTAGTCCATATAATGGCGGGCTATGAGTAATATTCGTTATAGCTTACATCGAGAGACATATATAAAATTCGGTATATCAAAAGGATTTAAATATTATTGACATGGGTCTGTAAATATTATTCACTACAGAGCAAATTCGTTACAAAATGGGTTCGTTACATCGAGAGTGACTAAGTATAACTGTTCTTGGAGTCAACTTCGGTTTAATTGGTGTTTCGTTATATCAAGATCCGACTGTAATTGAATATTTTCGCCAAGTATTTTTTTTCGTCATTTTAATAACAATATTTTAATGCTAATATTAACGTTAAGAGTAAAAAAATATGTATAGTCGTCTCCACATAGTTCGATCAGGCATTTATGTGACTATTGCGGGATTGTAATAGGTTGTAAGCGAAAATTCATATATAATATATACAGAAAATTAATGTGTCTATATACAATTACGGTATGATTATACTGTAGCGGCGTTTACTGTTCATGCTCGTATATTTCTTACATTTTTTCCAAATGATCGGATGAATCCTTCATATTGTAATATAAGTGAATAACATGAACATGTAGTTAAGTCTAAGTTAATGTATTTGTATTGATCGCATAAATCATTATTCTCGAGTATCAGTAAGCTCTTCCTAAATGCAATTCATCGGGACCATATGATTAAACTAACGTGCATTTTGAGATTGCATTTATAAGTTACAAAGATAAATAGAAGTCTTATAAGCGTGGTACTAATCAAGAGCATACATTTAAGGAGAGTTCGCATTGTGCGTGCACTTATGGAAGACTTGCATTTAAAAAGTTGACTGTATCTAAAGTATTGCAGCTTAATTGAATTAAAAACACAAAGCATTCGCTTTATCTCGTTTATAAACATGTATTTTTATAAGTACCTACTGAAAATAAAATATGGTGATATCATGAAGACGACTTTTCGTAAAAAAAGGAGATTTTCCACAGACGATATATTTTTTTGCTGTTTACGTAAATGTACAGTTGAAATAGAGGTTCTTATCCTTAGAGTTCATATTATACATATTAACGTTATAGTATTATCAATTTTGATCTTTGTTCGTTTCATATGACGCAGAAAAGGAAAATCTTTCAAAGTGTCGTTGAAATCAACATTATCGGTTTTGACGACTTGTAAGCTTCCTCCATGACAAGTGAAACAATGAAAATGATGAAATGTTCTATCACTCAAATATTTGGATTCTCAAGCGAACAGAAATTAAAAATTACTTATTTTTATGAGGAAACCTAATAAAAAAAAAGCTTTTTTTAAATTAAATAGGCAATATTTTAGCGTTAGATACATGTACATGTATTATCTTCATGGTAGAGTTTATTTTGTGCGATAAACCATCACCTACCAGAATGTGTCCCATTCTGAAAGGGGATTGATGCATCACCACTACTTCTTAATTTAGAAGGGTGGATTCGGAGAATTGTACCGGTACCGGTATTCGAAATTTTTGTTTGTTATATATAGAACGTAGTTTTTGTACCTGCACTAGCGTTGTGTCGTCGTTTTTGTATCCTGTTCATAATATGTCGCGTGGAACATTTTACATTAGCAGCTATACTTTTTTCTTGACATACTCTTATTGTCCATTGGAAAAGGAAACTATATTGGACAATTTAATTGATATGCTCGAGGAATACTATGTCACAAAATATATTATCGCTAAGGAATTCCATCGAAATGGCTTTGCTCATATTCACGTTTGGCTCAGATGTAAACGGCCTATTCAAACGAGAAATGAGAGTGGAAGCAAAAGTGGAAAGCGTAATGTTTTAACGAACTTACAACGTTACCAGCTTTGCCAAATGAAAAAGGACAATCTAGTTTTACAGGTGTTTTCCTTGCTGAGAAATTCAATATCCATTTGTGGCATCCTCAAAGAATCAGAAAGATGACTTTCTCTCGATCTGGATTTACCATCTTCAAAGGCAAAAAGAGATCACATGCCAAAAATTCCGCAAGTTGAGATGGCTCTTGCCATGTGGATTGACAATGCTACAAGAGCTAACCAGCCAGAATCATGCTCCGAAAAGCACACCAATTCACTGAAATGTTTAACATTGAAAAATTTGGAGGATCAGATGGCTGGTTGGATAATTTTAAGAAACGACATCACATCAAAGAGTATGTATGTTCAGGCGAAGCAAATAGCGCATCATTGGATAATCTTCCAAGATATCGTGATGAACTTAAAAGTGTACTTGAAGAATACGATCCTCGCGATATATATAATGCAGATGAAACTGCATTATATTGGAAACTCGAACCATTTAAAGTACTTTCCAATCAACCAATATTTGGCACAAAAAAACTAAAAGATCGAGTTACAATTTTACTTTGTTGTAATGCAACTGGTGACCACAAGCTTCCTCCAGTCTTTATTCACAAATTTTATACATCCAGAAATTTTATACATCCAGATGTCTTCATAATATTGATAAATCATCTCTTCCTGTTCATTATTACTGGAATTCGACAGCATGGATGTAAACAAACTTGTTTCATCATTGGCTTGGTAAATTAAATACAAACATGCGATGTGCCCGACAACATATTCTTTTACTACTCGATAATGCTTCTACCCATGCTGAATCTTCAACACCATTATCCAATATTCGTATTCATTACTTTCCTCCTAACACTATGGCGCATTTACAACCTTGTGATGCGGGATTAATTCATTCATTTAAGGCAAATAATTTTAATCTTAATTTTTTCTAATTTAATAATAATGTTAATACATTTTTTATATAGTCACATTATCGAAGATTCCTTTGTGACAATCGTATTGATGCATATGAATGTGCTATTCCAAACTCAAATGCAATCACACCCACTTGAAATTATTGATGCAATTAACATTACTAGTAAAGCATGGTTAAATGTCAGTCAGCAAACAATCAAACATTGCTGGCAAAAGGTTGGAATTTTACCTTCTTCTTCACCCTTTGTTGGACTTGCAACTCCACCAAATTTTGAATGACTTTCTTCAAGATACTATTAATCAACTTGCTACATATAATACTGATGAACCAATTTTGGCACAAGAATTCATTAGCATTGATGATAAATTAGTGACTACAAATTGGTAACCGATGAAGAAATTGTTACATCAGTTTTAAATGCAGAAAATGAAGATAATGAATCAAATGAAGATGAGACTATTATTCCTATTTCATGTTCGAAAGCAATTATGAATATTAATGAGCTTCTTACATTTATCAATAGTGTTCCAGAGAGTTTTTCTGTGAATAATAATACCATCCAAGTTTTAAATACATTGCGTCGAGATATAGAAAAACTTTGGATTGATTCACAGCAACAAACTACTCTGGATAATTATTTTGTAAATTAGCCATGAAAATATATAGTATCATAATTCAATCATAATAAATTACTATATATTGAACTCTGGATATAATGAATTATTTTAAATTTAATTAATAAATTCGTTATATAAAAAATCTTGATATAATGAATCCCTTGATATAACGAATTAAATTAACCAGCCCACGACATTCGTTATATCGAGAGTGACTAAGTAGTAATTTCTCGAATTATCGTTTAATCTTCAGAAATTTAATTTTGATGAAATAAATATTATATCCTTTTCAAGAAATGCTTGTTTTCTCTTTAGATTAACTATGAATAGGCAAAATTTTTTGAACGGTCATGCGTGATCTTGTCTGTAATTAATTCTTTTTTTTTAATTTGTTATGCCTCTATTCTTTTCATGTCTTTGATTACCGCTTCATATCGTTCAGGATTTCAAAATTTGATAAAAAACTGAGATTTGTATTTTTAGCAGGATTCAAATTCAGAAATACAATGAACGCTTGTTAAAAATTAACATTCGTTGCAATAGCATCTCGTTACAGTAACGCTATTAATCTGTATTTTTGCCAGTCATATGTTCAATAAAGAAACATTTTAAAATAATGACCCATTCCCGATCAACGTTGAGTCCACATATCACTCTCAAGAATATTATACTCTTAAAGAAAGAAGATAGATCTCTGGATTGTTTCAGCAAAATGCTATCATATTGGGAAAATGTATATCTATAAAAAACGAGGTCTTGATAATGAATTCATGTAAAAATGTCGAAGTACGTAGTTGGATTCTAATCCTACAGCTAAAGAAACCATGTTGAAATTTGCATCGGAGATAACTAATTGTTTCAATTATGCTGATTACCCGCCGCTTCGAGATTGATCTACTTTTTATTACCTCCCTCTTTGTGAATTTCTACTCAATTGTAACTTGAATCTCCTCTCCTGTTGATCTGAATCATTATTAAGGATTGATTACAACTGTTCATTCGGAATTCTCACATGATCAATAAACAATCGCTATTGTGTGTATTTTCGCTCGTAATACATTCATATTTATTGGAAAATTGCATACCATTATGCAATCCACGATGTGCAAAACCATTGACATGTAATTTTTGTAAGAATTAAATGGCTTCATAAAAGTAAAAGACTAACAAATAGAGATTTCTATTGACGAATACATACCTTTGTATGCGTATATTTAAAATTTCCAAGTAAATTAACTCATTTACTTACTTTTTTTGAACAATCTTTGTGTAACCTTCGATGATTTTGCTTTGTTCATTTCGCAAGATTTCCAAATCCCGCAAAGAAAAGACCTCCCCGCACGACACGATAAAAACTCGATTTGGTGGCTATGCGGTTTAACGAAAATGGGTTTTGCACAAAAACATATCGATCGATATACCGACTGATATAGCGTTAAATCAAGTTCTGACTGGTATTCATGCACGATAATTTTCATTCATTTTATGATTATCATGTTTCTATGGGGGAAAACTGACAAAATTTGTTTACAAGCATTTTAATCCAGCGAGTAAGTGTTTCAAATTTGATAGCGGAGAAAAAAAGTTGATTTTATTTATTTACCGCTTGACCAACAAGTTTACACGATTGATGTTCCTCGATGACAAATACGGGCAATTCGCTATTTGAAGATGTCATAGGCGAGCGAATCTCCAATGAATGCTTAAATGAATAATGAACATTATGTTTAAACTTTAAAAACTGGAGAAAAAGCATGAACGCTTCTTTTATGATAGTTTAAATGGATATTTGCCGAGAGTGCATCGTGTATCACGTCTGCTTATAAAGTTCATTTTATCATTATTGCTGCAATATAAAATTTTTAATTATATTTAACCAGTTCAAGAGTTTGTGTGTGATACGTGTGATCACCAGATTAGAGTACAACAGAGGTTACATGAACCTCTATCGGTATACAGATATTCTTATTTGTGTTCTTGTACAGTAATCGATGAATAACGACAACAAACAAGAAGCATCGAGTTTTCATGCCATCAAGATGCCACTCTTCCATAAAAGAACGGATACGATCTTTTCTTCCGCCAAGATTTTCAGATCAATTTCTAATTACATGTATTACGCAAGAGAAACGAGTCTTCCTTTTTAAATTTCGTAAAATAAATTTACATCACGTAACCTTCCGTCAAACCACCCGATAAAAAAGTAACACGTTCGGAAACAGCAAACAGGCAATAAACGATGATCTAAAACGACCGAACGTTCTCCTTACATTACACAAAGATAAAACAAATCACCATTTAGCCACGATGCAAAACTTGTTTGCTTTTGAATTAAGCAGGTAATGCTTGATACCCTTTGTGCCAACAGAAAAAATTTAACGTTAAACTGTTAGATTAATTGAGAAACAACACCACCTCACTATCGTTTTTTTCTTATTGTTCACATGCCAATCTATTGTGCGTTGACCTATTATTGTATCTGAAACACGCTGAACTAACCAAAAAATTTTAAAAAAAACCCAATAACGGTAAACGGTATAAATATAGATATCGGATAGTGATAAATGCTGACGCGTTATCGTTATAACATGCTTTACATGCATATTTGTGAACCTTTCTATGAGAGAAAAAAAGTTTTGATTATATCAGATATGCATGTATGTCGAAGATATTTGCAGTCAGATCATTTCTTTGTAAAAAGATTTGTTATTCTTCCTTTTTTTTCTTCAGGGATAGTTTCCAATTACCTGCATTAGTGTTAGAATTTGAACCGTTTAGGGACCTTTGTATCATCATTGTATGTACGGCAAATGCAGCAAATGCATTTATGTGCGTGGAATAGCAGTTGTTCTTCCGCTCTCATCACTTAACGACAAATTTCTTTACCTGTTGTGTTGGCGTATTTTAATTTCTATCTGAGAAAATTCTTGTCGTCGTCGTTGTTGTCAAATCATGTTATCTCATTGTCACATGTATCTGCCTTCAACTATCAGTACATAAACAATTGAACTTCTCTGAATTTTCACTGTTCAAGAAAAAACTTTTTCCTTTCTCAGATTTCAAAAATATTTATATCACCCAAAATATTTAATTTTGTACATTTTAATGGTGTAATAATAATAATAATAATAATAATTTAATAAATAATATAATAATAACGACGATAATATAGCAATAAGAAAATAACAACCAACAAAATAAAATAAAATATCAAAACAAAAGATGACGACAACACGATATTTTCCATTCTTATCGCGAGATTTTTCAAGATTATTAGAGACAGGGCAAAACCCCGATATATCAATAAAAGTTGGTAATGGTGCAATGACAAGAAACTTTCGAGCACATTCATTAATACTGCATGCACGTTCAAGATTCTTTGCCAAATTGTTGGTGGACAAATGTACATATAGCGCGGGCGACGATGCCGAGAATAGTTTACCGGTGTTGAACAGCCAAGTACTTGACCGAATAACACCGGCCGTGTTTGAAATTTTACTTCGGTAATTATTTGTGATTTTTTTATTTCCATTTTACGAGTGCGTGTAATAAATGATAATTTTCTTGTGCACTGGCTTCTCATACACAAACAAACAAACAAACCATAGTTACATGTATGGAGGGAATTTACCATTGGAGAATAGAGGAGGACGACACGTTCTTGACCTACTAATAGGAGCAGATTTACTAGACTTAACAGACATTCTAGATGAAATACAGGACCATCTAGTAAAGAACAATAGCGACTGGTTGGTGGAAAATTTTGGGATAATAAGCAGAACGGTACTTGATCATCCAAATTTTAAGATATTGCACGACTGCTACATAGACGTCATAAGAACGAGACCGGAAGGAATTTTTGATGCTAAAGATTTTCTTTCGTTGCCAATCGCATCACTGATTGAAATTCTGAAAAATGATGACGTGGCGATGGAGGAAGTGGATATTTGGAAACGAGTGTTAGATTGGGGCATTGCACAGACGCCAAATCTGCTGCCGAATACGGCGGGTTGGTCGTTACTTGAATTCGTTCGTCTACAGAAAACACTACAAGATTGTCTGCCATACATTCGATTCTTTCAATTGTCGTCGGCTGAATTTCAGGATCACGTGATGCCATATTTATCTATACTAGGAAATCAATTGAGAACGGATATTTTAAGTTATCATTTAAAACCCGGTTACAAACCAACTACACCAATAGCACCACCAAGATACGGTTCGAAGAGTTTAATTATCTCAAAAATGGTCCCGCATCATTATCTTGACTCAACAATAGTAAATAAGCGACACGCCGCATTACTATCCCTTTGGATAGACCGTCGAGAGAACGAAACACCCACAACATTTCGCTCATCCGACGAAAATCGTTACGAATTTAAGTTACTATGTCGAGGAACCCGCGATGGATTTACCGCCAAATACTTTCACCGGTTTTGCGATTCAAAAGGACCAACGATCACCGTCCTGAAAGTCAAGGAAACAGGTGAAATACTTGGCGGGTATAACCCACTCCCGTGGCGATCATCCGACACCGGTAAATATCAAGAGACGAATGACAGTTTTGTGTTCTCCTTTGGTACCGATTTCCCGCGGAGTGCCATTCTAAGTAGAGTGTGCGAGCCAAGTCAAGCGGTGTATTGTCATCGTGTGTGGGGACCTAGTTTTGGCGTGTTTGATTTAGCATTACATGGTAATTTCGCAGAGGACGGAATGTGTCGAAGTCAACGAGGGCAATACGAGTGCGAGATACGTTCTCCGGATAGTGAAGATTTTTCGGTGGAAGAGTATGAAGTATTCCAGGTTATAGATCATATGCCACAAAAAGACATTAATAATAGAGCATTATCATCATCCTTATCACGTAAACTTTATATTTATTCATTGGTCGTTTTGGGTTTGGCTGGGGTAATATCAGCATTGAGTTTTTGGTTTGTACTATCGGAATACTGTCCATGTGGGTTGTTTGATACTATTGAGCAATTGAAGAGAACGATCATTTCAATCACTTAATTAGCATTAAAAAAAATGTATTATATCAATAAATATGAATAAATTATATCAATATGTTTGCTTTGCTAGATTTTGCATTCAGATTCATAACCTGTAACTAATTTTTAAACTTCATGTCACAATGAGAACACAGCGAAATTTTTTCTTCATGCAAAATCCTCTCCAAATTGTATTTTATGATCGGAACGACGAATGTATGAATAATCCAGGATGTTTCGCGAATCCACAAAACAATTACAATAAGATGGTATCTCGTCCAACCGTCATTTAGATATAATATAGTGCAAGCAAATCTCTCGGACAATATTTGATTTTCATTACAGAACATTATTAAACATTGGAAAACAAAAGTTATGCATATGTTATCCAAAACATTTCTCCAGATACTTTGATTACAATTACTAATGAGCAGTCACTTTTTTTAATAGCCATCTATTTTGAGTTTTTCAGTCATTAAATAATTGTAGTTAAAAAATCTTTCTATAGTTACATCTTTATAATTTTCCAATTTTGCTTTTTCAAGTATGATAATAAGATTTGACTATATTACTTAATTTTATTTCTCTTACTTTCATACTTAATGAAGTATTAATTAGTTATAAAAATCAATTATTCTTGAGATAACTAATAAATTATTCAAAAAGAAACTTGATTTTTTCTTTTATAATTAAAATAAAAATTTGTTTATTATTATTAAAAACTAATTAATAGTATTTTATATTATCTTTACTTATTTATATTAAATTATAATTTAATTTTTTTATTTATTTTCTTAAATCAAACTCTTCTATTTTCAATTAATTCAATATAGATTTAATAATCTTTTTTAATTTTATTTTTAATTCAAGAAGAAAAATAATTAAAATACTTAAATAATATCTATTAAATAATTTAATTAAAGAAGTTATTAAATTAAATCAAGTATAATTATATTATTATTCTTTAAAAAAATTTTATTAATAAAATAATTAAAAAAATTATTTTATTAATTAAATATTATATAAAAATTAAAATTATTATAAAAATAATATTATTATTAATTAAAATAAATAATAATTTATTTTTATCTTGAACTATTCAAGATTAAAATATTTAATATAATTCTCTTTTCTTTATTAATAATAATTTTATATTTATAAAACTTATAGTTATAATAAAATTAAGAATTTTTTTAAAATAATAATATAAATTTATTTTTTTTATTTTTATAATATCTTATATTATAAAATATTTTGAATAAATAATAATAAATTGATATTTTTTCATATTTAAAAATTATAATCTCTTATTAAATTTGAAAAATAAAATAAAAAAATATAATTATAAAAAAATTTTTTTAATTATAATTATTAAAAGTTAAAAAATTCAAAAAGAATAACTAGAAATAATATAATTATAAAAATATAATTATAAAAAGATCTCTAATTAAAATATTATAAAAATTTCTTTTATATATTTTTATTTTTATTAAAATTTTTATTATTTATTTTCAATTTAATATATAATTTTTTTATTTTCAAAAAATTTTTTCTGATTTTTTTATATTTTAATAAAATTATAAAAGATACTTTAAATATTAAAAAGTTATAATATATTTCTAAAAATATAAAATATACTCATATTTTATTAATTAATATATATTTAATTAAGCTTAAAAAATTTAAAATAAATAAAAATTCTATTATTTATTTAATAATTTATATTTCTAATTCTTAATAAATTATATTTTATTAAATATAAATTTATTAATTTTTATTATATTTATTATATTAATAATAAATTTAATTAAAATAATTATATATTTTTATTTTATAATTTATTTTTATAATTACTTTATATATAATATTAATCAAAAGTAATGATTCAGAAACTAAATTTATTAAAAAACATAGTAAAAATTAAAATTTTCTCTCTATTAAAATAAAGTTTATTAATTATAGTTTAATATATATTTTTTCAGATTTTTTAGATTTTTTCTAAAAGTATTACTTTAATTATAAAGTTAATACAAAAATTTTTACTAATTAAAAATGAAAGTTAATTAATAAAATTTTTACATTAACTTTATAATTAAAATAACTCTTTCAAAAAAATTTAAAAAATCTGAAAAAAATACATATTAAATTGTAATCAATAAATTTTTATTTTAATATAAAAATAAAATTATTTCTAATAAAATTATAAATTTTAATATAAAGAGAAAATTTTAATTTTCACTATATTTTATTAATAAATTTAGTCTCTAAATTATTATATTTAGTCATTATTATATAATAAAAAATTAAATTTTTTTCTATATTAAATTTTATAAATTTATTAAAAAATAATTTTTATTTTTATATTAAAATAAAATTTATAAGTTATAATTTAATATATAATAATTAATATAAATATTTAGAATTTATAATAATAGATAAGATAATTTTTATTATTAATATATATAAAAATTATATATATATTCTCAAATATAATTATTAATTATTTATAAAAATTTTAATAATTAATTTTTTTCTTCTATTTAATTATTACTAAAATATAATTTTTTATACTTTTGTTAATTAAAAAAAAGATTTTTACTTAAATTTATTTATTTTATTTATATTATTATTTGAAATCTATTATTAAAATTTTTTTTAATTAATCATAAATTTATCTTTTTTTTATTTTTTTTATTTTTTTCTTAAATATAATTTATAAATTCTTAATAGAATTAATATTTGATAAGTAAAAAATTAATTAAGAATTTGAATATTATAATAATAAAAAAGATTAATTATTTTATTTATATTATAAATTGAAAAGTTATTCTATTAAAAATATAATTTATAATCTGCTATAAAAATATGAAAAAAAGATATATTTCAAGACTTTCTTAATATTTTTTTAGTATTAATTTTTAATAAATAAGATAAGTATAATTAATTCTTATATATTAAAAATATTTCAAGTATAAATCTTATAGAGATATTTTATTATACTTTTATATAATTATAATATTTTATAATAATATTTTATTAACTAAATATTTTTAAATATTTATATAAGACTAATTTTAATAAATATATTTTTATATCTATTCAAAATAAATTACAATATAATATAATTATAAAAAAGAAATTCATAATAAATAATAAATATTAAATATTAAATTAAAGATTTTTTTAAGATATATTAAATTATATAAATAAAAACTTTTAAATTAAATATTTTTATAGTTATTTTAGTTATTATAATATTATTATTAATCTATACTAATTAATTAAGAATATAATATTATTTAATTATGAAAATTAAAAATCTTTTAAATCTAAAAAATAATATAATATTTTAATTTAATTAATTATATTATATATTATAAACTTAGAAAAATTTATTATTTATATAATTTTTATAAATTTTCAGATATTATTTATTTAAAACTAACTTATTACTATTTTTTATACTTTATACTTGAAAATAGATAATATTTTTTTTATTTTTTTTTTGCTAATAGATATAAAAACTAATAATAAAAATATTTATTTTATTATATTTATTATTAAATAAAATAATTTTAATTTTATATATATATTTAACTTGTAATATATTTGTAAATATTTTTATTTATCTTTAATTAATAGAATTATTAAGATATAATTATATAATCTTGTCTATATTAATATATTTTATAATTAATATATCATGAAACTTAAATAGAATTTTTATTTTTAATATTTTATTATTAGATATAACTATATAATTAATATTTTTTTAAGTATATTAACTTTTTTTTAACTTAAAATATTTTATTTTTACTTATTATTTTAGTATTATATTACTAAAATTCTTTAATATTTTAAATATTTCTAAATAATACTTGTTTTCTTAATATTTTTTTATTTATTAATAAGATTAATAATTATTGTAATATTAACTAAGTATAAAATTAATAATAATAATAATAATAATAATAATAATAATATAATTTTCTAATTATATATATATATTTTTTACAAGAAACTATATAAAAATCAAGTTAAAAAGCAAATAAAATTTTATTTAATTATATAAATTTATATTTATTTTATTAAAATAAAATTATTAAAAATATAAAATAAAAGAAAATATCTTTAAATAATAAATTAAAGTTATATAAATTATTGATATATAAATATTTAAATAATAATATTTCTAAAAAATATTTATAAAAATATAAATAAAAAAATAATAATTATAATAATAAATATAAAAAAATAATAAGTTAATTATATTAGTAAAATAAGAATTAAAAAAAATTCTACTAAAAATTTATTTATAATTAAATAACTTAAATAACTTAAATAACTAGATAACTTTTCTTAATATTTTTGTAATATGATAATTTTATTATTAATTACTTTATATTATAATATGATTAGATGAATAATTCTTTATATCTTATTGAATATTAGCTTTAGAGAATATTATTTGTAGATATTTTTA